AGGCTAATTTTTCGGTGATTTTGTGGGTAATTAATTAATTATCTGCACTAAGAATTCGGTCCAATCCGTGAGAATGTAGTAGGAGGCACAAAGTTCGGTTAACCGAGCCGAATCGACAAAAACCAAAAATTTGGTTTTGATCGAAACTGAAACCCAAACCGGATATTTGGTTAGGTTTTCGGTTTACAGTTTCTTAAAAATTCGGTTTTCGATTCAGTTTGGGTAATTGAGAGCAGTTAACCGAACCGAACCGAAAATTGATTTATACATATCTATATATATACATTTTTTTTGTACATATAAGTTATAAAAACATTAATTTCCTTCAATGTCTAATGATTCTCAAGCGTCAATTACCCCTAAAATGGCTCAACCATTATTTTTCACTAAATATTGACTTCGTCATTATCCAAGTCACGGTTCGGGTCCGAGATCTTCCTTTGAGAATTTAGAATTTATTGAGAAGACTAGTACGTACCCCGTGCGATGCACGTGACATAGATATTAAATGAGTTATTTCCACAACCTTGTCCGTTTAAATCTAAAAAGTAATAGAGTTATTATCTATTTTGGAACTCTTTTAATCAACGTTAAGTCTAAAAAACAATAGAGTTATAAGTTTTTTTTCCACATCTTTAAAACCAACGTTATTTTTTTAGCCAGGACATTCAATATGAACATGTTAGGGCTAGCTTGTAAAATAATTAGTATATCATCTCACTAAAACATTTATACTAATAAAAATTTAATTTTAGCATATAAATTTATCTCTTGGTATAAGAGAAAGTAACAGTTTTACTTATTCTTGTTCACCATATAATATATAATTATTATTTTATTATATAATAAAAAGTAATATTGTTAAATAGTGTAGTATAATTGTTATAAAATTATATGAATTATTTTTTTCACAATATGGATTTAATATCTTTTTATGATTTGATAATATAACTATAATATATTCTTAATGATATAATAATATGAGATACGGATTTACATAATACTATGAATTTATTCTTTAATGTTAAGATATTGAATTAGGTAATATAATTCACTAATTTGTAATCTGTCTCTTTTTATATAGAAAATAATCATGTGATTGATAAGAGATAACAATTATCTATAAATCCCTTCATTTAAGGAATAATTTTTAAATTGGTCCAAGTGTTGAATGCAACACTATTTTCTTGTAAATAAATTGAGAAGAGATTTTGAATTTCAAAATAACCACACTTAAAGTTGGATGCAGATTTTATTAAAAATGAATTCAACAAAACCCATAATTCTAGGGGCATTTAATGCTACCATATTTTATGATTTACAAAATCTAAAAACTTTCTAAATATAGTTTGAAATTAATTATGAGTTGACTTTTCCTCCTACTAATTCTAGTAAATGAGATAACTTTTATATAAGTATAGATTAAACATGATGATAAAAATTCAATTTTTTTTTGTTCGAATAAAACATCAAATTCTTTGTTCGGTTAAAAATTCAATGATTAATTATTTATTGCGGTTAACCGAAAACCAAATCGAACCGACCGCTGGATTTTCGATTAAAAACCGAACCAAATTGTAAAGTTCAGTTCAGTTTTCGATTATGATAATGGGCAAATCGAATTTTCGGTTAACTAAAAATTCGTTCGTTCAGTTTCGGCCGAATGAACAGCCCTAGAATGTATGACAAATGGGAACAGACGAGTAAGGTGATTCTATTGTCAAGTACGTCTCGTACCAACCTCGTACATACCTAAGATCATGTACCCATTTAATTCATGTCATGTGTCCCAATTCGATTAATTAATAAAAAAATCGTGATCCCTTGTGAGTTTTTGCCTGAGAACGCGATCAACTTCCTTTCTTCTCAGTCGTGTAAATAATGAGGGATTATGAAAATTTTCCTTAAGAATAGTTGTTGATCCGCTTTCCCCCGTCATCCATGTTCGGACCAATTTGTATTTTTCTCCCGATGGTTCGTCGCATCCTCAGGCGGCTGAACGACAACATTAGATTGGACTGGGACTTTACTCTTATAACTTGCAGGGGTTTTGAGGAGATCCACGACCGGTGTCGGCTGTGGTAGCGTCGCCAGAGATGCCGCTGGCAATACTTGCATCATCAAGTTGGCTATGACCTTCAGAAATTTGGGGTTTTGGAATACCATTGGGAAGTTGACGGTAGGAGGTAGTGCCAAAGCAGTGCACACGCTCGTCCCATCGTTTGAGGTTGAGCACGCAAAGATTCAACGTGGTGGAGCTGAACACGCGGTTGTTCAGGTAGTTGGGATTGAGATTCCGCTTCTTGGCTTGACGACAGTAGTATTTTCTGTGACCTATTTGTGGTGTTTCACGTCAAAAATTACTCCAAATCAAACTATGACGCTTTCATTCTAGCGCCAAATTGTTGTTATGCAAATTATGCAAAAAAGGGTTTATGGAAATCCCCTAAGATTAAGAAGAATTTTATGTCGAATTTATCATGCAATTATCGCATATACTGTAAATATCATAGTGTTAACAAAATAAGGTAAGTGTTTAAACATCTCGAGGTCGGACTACCTTTAAAATTATATATATTAAAAGCTCGGATCATTGTGTTTTACGGATAGTGTATGTTTGGGGGTGTTAAATAAATGAACATCAGTTTCTTTTTTGAATAATCTCAGCATCCATCTCTTTTTTTATGATAATAGTGGGATATATATACTATGAAACCTATGGGTACAATGTTCGAGGTTGGCATGTTACTGGTATGATTACCATTTAATGCGTGCGATGGTCACGTGCAGAACCACCTGGTGGGTCCCATGTCAGTCGGTGGCTTTTCCACAGGATAACTATACATGTCTTTTCCACATTTAATGTTCCGTCATAATCCGACCTTAGGAAAAATCCGATCGATCTTCTTATGTCGTGTGATACGAGTGTTGCGTTGGGTTGATCTCCATGTAGTCATTTCTTATAGTTCGACCTCTGATAACGGAGATTGGACGCTTTTGATTTGAGTTTATTTATTTCCGTTCAAGTTGTTGAATGTGATGCTGAAGCTGATTAATCTCGTCATAATCTTTGATACTTAGAAATTGTCATTAAGTGATCTGGATGACACGTGTCGCTTGTTTGCATTTATGCCAAATCTGGTGTCAACGGTATCAAAATAAATGAGTGTAAAATGGAAATGAAGTGATATGAGATATAAAGTCGTGTTAGAAAGCAAAAGAAAGAGATTATGAAGAAAGTTGCATAAGTCCAGCAAAATCTCACCAATTTGATGAGGTTTTTGCTAGGACTTTCTCTTTGTAATTTTGTTGCAAAAGTCTCTAAAAGTCTCACAATTTAAAAAGTCACATAAAGTTTTCATATTTTGAATACTCGGTGACTTATAGAGACTGTCGAATAGTTTTAATTAAATACCTTGAGACTTTTAGAGACTTATAAAAAGTCTTCAAGAGTCTCAACTGAATACATGTAGACTTTTTTAAAGTATGTAAAAGTTTTAATTGAATACACCAGAATTCTAAAAGTCTTAAAACGTCTAAATTGAATACACCCCCCTAAACAAAACTTAACTAAGTTATTAAATTATACTTTATTTTCTTATCTTTATCGTTTCGGTTCTGAATGGAGACCGATTCGATAGTAATTTACAAGTGAGTCGGTATGATTTAGTTTATTTTGCCAACGATTCAGCTCGATTCAGTTCGTTTTGATTTTCAGTTTCGGTCAAAAAATACCAGCCTTATATTTTGCCCCACAAATCCAACTCACTTGCCCCATAAATCCAACTCACGAGAGCACTCTTTGTTTTAAGTAATTTTTTTTTCCTTTTTACGCAAAATCTAATCTTTCAGAATTTCATCTCACCATTTTCAAAATCCTAAAGGGAAAAAAGTCCTTCTTTTTCTCTGCATATTTCAAATTCCTCCAAACTTTATCCAAAATATTTTTCGAACATAGCCCAAATATCACATTTACATATATTCATTGTCTCTTACTTTTTGTTTGAGCTAGTATATAGCTTATGTCATGCAAGAAACACATATATTAAATGAGTTATTTTCGTAGGGTTTGTCCATTTAGGCACTGATGGGTCTCCTCCTAGATCTGGAGTTAGCTAGTGGATATGAGCCCCGTTCTGTTAGAACAACCTTCGAATCGTCACTAGACCTCCGTAAACACCTGCAAGAACTCAACGCCGGAAGTGTTTCTGGCGTAGAGCCTCCGACGCTTTAGTCAGTATGAGAAATGGATGAAAGAGCTCTGCTCAATGGGAGCAGCAGTAGCTGGGAAATGAATAGAGAGAGTCTAAAGTAAGGGTGAGTGTTACCTCTCCTTTTTTTATAGTGGGAAATACCTGTCTTGAAGTACCCAGAATGTCCCTGGTCGACCGGCCTATTTGCCCGGTTTACTTGCTTCATAATCACCTCTTAGTCATATATGGGTCATTTTAAGATTCCATCTTATCCTTAATTATTCTTCTTACTCATCAAATAAACCTGAACATTTTGGAGTACCTTGAGTCGTCGCATGTTCCCTATCTCGAAGTGTAAAGAGTCGACCTCGAGTGGATAGAGGTCGACTTAGAGTTTAAAAGAGTTTCGGGAGGCTCCATGACCTATCCTTGGAACGCTTTCGTCCTCTTAACGGAGTAAGTCGACTTTGATTAGAGCAATTTGTGGAGGTCGACATGAGCATGTCGACTTTTGGATATCGAACATAGAAAGTCACCTCCCCCCTAGCGTGGTGTCATATAGAGATTCGACTTGGGGATATCGACCTCAGGATGTCGACTTGAGATATGTAGTTCCAATCTTCTTGCGAGTCACTCGACTTGTCATCCAGTCGAATGACTAACACTTGAACCAATATATGATAATATGGCTATATCATGCACCAAAAATAATAAGATGGAACCATCATATGTTTTAATCATGAAACTTTTATACAAATTTCTCACATTATTAAATATTAGAAATTTCATGTCCAATTGGACCAATTGCACTCTAAATGTCGGTTTACATTCTCTTTGGTATTTTAATCTTGCTGTTGATCCACTCTTCAGACCAAATGAATAGGACTGACAAACTGGCTCTAGAGATTATTTAGACACTTTAGAGCCCAGATGACACTTGTTATGGTTTTCTACTTTCCTTGTTCGGCAAGTGAAAGGAAGGAATATTGCAGCATCTAATTATTTTCGTATGGTAATCAATCGTGTCACTATATAATGGTATTGTCCATTCTGAAACAGATATCGCGAAACATAACTTTGATGAGAAGGAAGATTTTAGGGTGTGATTGTATATAAATTCAATAGTAAAAAATCCAACCAAAACTCAAATTTAACTCTACCCCACTATCTTCAATATTAATAATATAATTAAATAATATCGACCAATCATTTTTACATATCACATCAACTTTTATTCACTATTCACCAACTCACATAATTCTAACTAACTATCACTTCCAATCATTTTTTTCCTACTTTACATCAAATCAACTTTAATTATTTTATTTAAATATTATTTTAATATATCCACTAACAACTAATCACACCACCTTTTTCAAAATTAACGTTAAAAATAAACCAAATAAAAACTAATTTTTTTACTATTGAAACTATAAACAATCACCACCTAAACGATTCACTATTCTAGTTTTTCCCCAAATCTGAGCAGAAAGGATAACAGATTAAACCCTAAAAATTTTTCCCATATCTAAACAGAAAACAGTACTTTCCTGTCCGTCTCTCCTCGTATTCACGTAAGTACGCACTTCCTTCTGCGCTATTTTCTGCTTCTTTCAGTTAATGAATAGTAAAAGTTGTAGGTTTATTCTCAAGTTTGTTGGTCTCTCTTCATGCTTAGTTGCTCTGGGTTTTGAAATTCTTCTGAAATTCAGATTCGTTTTACATTGGGATTTATGCTCTGCCGTAATAGTGAGCTTGCTTAGTAAGTGGGGCAAACTGAATGAAAGGCCTATAGGATCTTCCACTACAGCTTTACTGTTTTTTTTTTTTTTTTTCATGAGGAATGAACTAGTTTATGGGTCACTAAAAATCAATAACTTTGTGCCGATATTCCGATGTTTGGGGGCAAAGACATTTATAGTTGTCAACTAGTGTGCGGTTTGTTATAAAATTGGTGAATTTGGAATCTTATGTTCTGTAAGACCAACATTCTGTTCTATTCTAGTTAAGTGAATCTGGAAGTTACTTGATGGTGGTTGTTAGTTCATGGATGATTCTTGGCGATGGCATAACGTAGACCCATTTTACTCTGGGTATTTTCTAATTGAAGCTGGCTCAGCTGGAATCAGACAGACTGGTGCTGCATTGTCTATTTTTCATTTTGATGGTCAAATTTAATATTAAAAAAAAGTGCCCCTTGCCCAGTAGGCTGCACATTGAAATTTGTATTCTAAACTGTAGATAAGGCTAGCAGGATTCTATTATAAGCTCACACTATACTGTATATTGAGTTTTGTGCTTTGGCTGCTTTATTAGCTTTGGAATCACAAAGTAAAGAAAATAATTTGTGTCCACTAGCTCCTATCCTAGTTAAACTACTGTTTTCATATGTATAGCGAGCCCTTTCTCGAAACAACAAGATTTACGTTATTTGTTTTTTTTTTGGTTATCATTCTCTCTTTCATTTTCTTTGTTTTTCTGGTTTTTGTATATCATGTTTGTGATGGCTCATGGTAAGACATTTGGTCTTGGCTTCTGTTTCTGTCTATTTCTTTTCCTCTTTTAGATTTTTTTCAGTTATTCAACATTGATATATTTAGGGGATGCTACTCGAAGTGTCATATTTTTTAGTTTGGTGTCCAGAATTATATACATGTTTAGATAGGACTAAGAGGATATTACACGTCTATCAATACTTGCTCTCAGGATATTATGTAGTTCCTCTTCCTTGTTTCTTGGAAACATTTTCATGTATATTATATGAGTTATAGATGACCTAGGATTGATTAGCCCGATATACATTTGTACTCTTTTTAATAAAAGAGAAAAGGGCTTTCGTGAATGTACGTCCAATGGCCAATCACTTAGCTACCTATTTTAACTGTACACTTATTTTCACTCACAGAGGCCATACTAGAGTTAGTTGATCTGAAATTTCGGCACAGAACTTTTGGCTACATTAATACCGCCTTTTCAAGTGCCTTCAAATTGTGTGGTGTATGATTGCTGCTATTTTGTTATTCCTCCATTATCGGATTGCACATTTTGATTGTTCTGGCAATAAAAAATGCTTGGGGGTATCTAGTAGCAATATTTAGCTTTTGAATGTGACTGTGCATAATTATTGACTACTTTTTCTATGCAGATCACATGGCTGAACTGGATCAGAATTTTGAACTTGAACATCCTCGTGAACTCGAATGCCTACCTCAACATGATCTTTTGCATGAACATAAAAGCGAACATGAGCTTGAACAAGTACATGAACCTGAGTATGAACCAGTCCATGAGAATGAGCTTGTACAAGTACACGAACATGACCTGGAACAGGAAAATGAACATGACCTCGAACATGCACGTGAACATGACGTCGAACACGCACATGAACATGACCAACATAATGAAAAAGAAGATGCAACACCAGAGATCTCACATCCTGATCATAAGCAGAACATTACAGATGCACAGACACCAGTTGCAGGAGGTGGGGAAAAATGGCCTGGATGGCCTGGGGAGAGCGTTTTCAGGATGTTGGTGCCTTCCCAGAAGGTGGGAAGTATAATTGGACGTAAAGGGGAGTATATAAAGAAAACATGTGAAGAGACAAAAGCACGTATTAAGATTCTTGATGGTCCTGCTGGAATGAGAGAAAGAGCTGTAAGTAACTTTATTTGTTGTGGTTTGCGTCTAGAGACAACATTTAGGGTAGTTATATGTCAGAGATCTACTTTTTTTTTTTTTTTTGGTAATATGAGTTTTGTTGCAACTTCATTGATAACTAGTACAACGCCCGTGTATTACACGGGTGCTTGCTAATTTTTTCGTTAAAATCTAAAATTATTGAGAAAATGTAGTTGAAAATTTAAATAACTTTTATAAAAATATATATTATTATATATTTAGTATGACACTTTTTATTTGTGTGACTTACTTGTGTTATATTATAATAATTTTTGTAACTTACAACATGTAACTACATTAAACAAAAATATATCAACTGAGAAATAATTTTATTTTTTTAATAAAATTTAATAAATATTAGTTTTTATTATTATAAAGGTAAATATTATTTATTTATTTTATATATACAATATGGATGTCAAATCGAAGATAATGAAAAGATGATTAATTTGATATATTATATATGTAAAATCGATAAGAAATACAAAAGTTATCAACTTTTAAAATACATTTATAATTCAATAGCTAATTGAAGGAAACAAATCAAAAGTCAGGGATATATTAGTAACTTAGTGTCTCACTATGTAAAATTACAAAGAATTAAAGGGTTATATTAGTACAAGTGATATTAAAATACCTAAGTTACTTAAATAGTATTTATGGAATGTCCGAACCTAGATATTAATTATTAATATATCAATATTATTTGTCCGAACCTAATTACGAAGCATGATTCTTCGCCAAGTAGGATTCCGAAACACCAGAAGCAGCCACGTAGGCTCAGCGCATTCGGGAATTATATATAGGGGCGATTTCAAAAAAAACAATGATTGTTTAGGACTAAACATGCCGGCCTCTTACTTCCCACCTATGTTACATTCGTGCCATCTCTGTGGGTTATTTCTTGAATTTGTTTTTCGATTTTTTAGCTTTGCTACTACTGTATACCATTTGTGATAAGAACCTTAACATCTGCAGGAATATTAAGATCATCAAAGTGCTTTAGCAATTAGCATCTTGCAAGCATGCAGCACTTTTATGAATATACTTTTTTTAAACTCAAAGTATTGTTCTCTTAGTTTTAGTTTTTCCTCGTTGATACTTCTTTTGTTCATAATGAAGGAAAAAAATAAGAGAGAAGTTTAGTTGGTCATCTCAACCCTAGATACTGAAGCACAAATGTCCCGAATTCATTCTTCTTGATTAGCTTATCTCTGGTCTACTGTATTTCCCTCAAGCATTAGTTAGTTGATTAACTTACTGAATGTTGTGCATACCATGTAGTATCATTTAAAGAAAATATATTGCAGTCTGGACTACAGCATGTCCTGACTCGAAAAACCAAATTAGATGAAATATCTGATTATTTGCTGACTCACCAATGGTTGGCATCTTGAAGGTTTTTGCTACTTTAACCTCTTTATTTATGGATAATGATCTACGATGTTCGGAATAATATTGACTACACAGGTTTTGTTTCGTGAAAATAAATCAAGTTTGTCTAATGTTATGTATGAAGTGTACTCTGAAGCTTTAGCACTCTCATAAAGTAATGAAGTGACTTTTGACTGCATACAGGTTATGATATCTGCTAAAGAAGATCCTGATTCACTGCTTCCTCCTGCCATGGATGGTCTTCTTAGGGTTCATAAGCGTGTTTTGGAAGGACTGGAAAATGAATCTTCTAATCCTTCATCAGGTTCAGGAGTAAAGGCCTCAACTAGGCTTCTCGTACCAGCGGCCCAAGCTGGTAACTTGATCGGGAAACAAGGCACAACAGTCAAATCTGTTCAAGAAGAGTCTAACTGCATTGTTAGGGTTCTTGGATCAGGTTCTTCTGACTTACCTGTCTTTTCTTTTGGGATAAGAATTTCATATGTGCATATTTGATCTTTTAAGAAATATCGTTGTTACTGTATTGCTGCAGCTGTTAGCGATACTCAAATATATATACTTGCTTATATATGTGTATATTCAATTTTTGGCATGACATTGCAGAAGAGCTACCGATTTTTGCTCTTAAAGATGATAGAGTAGTAGAAGTAGTAGGGGAGCCGTCATGCGTACTTAAGGCTGTTGAACTAATTGCATCTAATTTGAGAAAGTTTTTGGTTGATCGGAGCATCATATCAGTAATTGAAATGCAAGTAAGCTTCCTTTCCTTTGAAATCTGTATGGGTTAACGTTCTTAAATTTGTTTAGATTTCTGGGAGCTCACTCTATGGTGTGGCAGATGCAGAAGCCACCCAATTCACAGCAGATGGACCACATGCCGCCTCCCCCCCAGCACTGGGGCCCACCTCAATCTTTCCCACAACACGGTCCAGGATATGAGCCGAGCCCTCATTTCATGCCTCCTCCTAGGCAGTTTGACAACTATTATCCCCCGGCTGATATGCAGCCTCCACCTGAAAAGCAACCTCACCAGGGGATATCTGCTTATGGAAGAGAGGCTCAAATGCCGGTTCATTCATCGTCTGCTCAGGCAGCTTCTTCAGTGATCACTCAGGTTATTATATATATATATATATATATATATATATATATATATATATATTATGGTTTTATCACTGTTGTGAATTGAAAACATGGAAAATATCAACCCAGATTCAACTCATGTTCCATGACGTACGAAATCAATTCAGCTATGATCTGCTGATGCTAATTATCAGCGTCAGTTGAGACAGACTTGTTTTTCAGTTCGACTGAACAATTCCTTAAGAAAATTCTAGTATAGGAAATATTTGAAAACGTGGAAGATAAAACAAGAGGCTAAACTTAGTCAACGGCAGCTTACAGGTTGTCTAAATGGAACCCCAACAAATATCACTAAAAACAAACAGACTCTAATCCTATTTAACTCTTGTAGCTTAGGTTATAATCATTTAGGTGCTAAGACATCCCTAGGCCTCTCCAGATGACTGTGGGTTCGACTGGGACATGTCTTCATGGATTTGTTCGTGCGCAATACTTTCTAATGAAGTATCTTGTGTTGTACTTGTACGTATTCAGTATATAATTGGATTTATATAATCTTTCAGGTCACGCAGCAAATGCAAATCCCACTCTCTTATGCTGATGCTGTCATTGGTGCACAAGGTTCAAGTATAAGTTATATTCGGCGGGTAAGTGGTGCTGCAGTTGCTGTACAAGAAACTAAAGGAGTACCTGGGGAGATGACGGTTGAGATAAGTGGAACTGCTTCTCAAGTACAAACTGCTCAGCAGCTAATTCAGGTAACTCGGTAAACTCTGACCTCGGGACTGATCTTCTAAGCCTTTTCACTATCCAGGTTTTTGTATTTTTTGAGTTTCTTTGAGCAATTATTTTGATGTGAGTTTCCATTTTTTTCTTCAGCTGACATGTGTTGCAATCGACATGGTTTTATAGAAAAATCCACTGTTTTATTACATTGAAATTCCTATTAAGAAAGATGTATATATTTCTTGTAATTCTTTCTTCCTTTTTGTCTGGAGCTGTAGAATGTTGTTGATTCTCTTCCTCAAACCTTTGTCCTTGTGTTATAAGGTTTCCCCTATATTTCAAGAAAATGAGACCTGAATGGCAACACCAGTATGTCGGCAGTCTGTATATATTAATATATTTTCAGTTTTTTTAGTTGATACTACCTTTCGCATCTTAATAGTACACCAAGTCCATTTCTTTTGGCCGAATATGATAGTCCATTTGTTTTTCGGACCTGCAATCACTTTATTACTTGGTATCCTTATCCAATGAGGCAATTACCCATCTTTTCAAGTAATTAGCCAATGTAGGATTTAGTTTAAATAAGGGGGTATAACTAGACATGGCCATTGCCTGGTTCTGGGCCGAGGGTTGGAGGGCCTTGGCCCGACCATATGCACGGGTCGGTTCCGTGAACCAGCAGTCCAGGCCGGCCCGGTTCAATTTAAAAAAATGAAGATAATATAAAAATAGTAAAAGAAAAAAAGGCCAAACCACGGGCTCGGTTGAAGGCCCATTGATCATGGGCCAGTTTGGGCTGAACTGGCATGTCGGCCCGGCCCGTGGCCATGTCTAGGTATAATAGGGACACTAGGCAGGCATCAAATGAGGTATATCTTAAATTATTTCTTAATCGTTTTGGGCAATAGTTCTGGTAGTCTGTTAGGCTGACCTAAACATAAGACCACCATACTCTTTTTCATAAATATGCATGCTTTCATTATACGGTTTTGCTATGGAGCCATCCGATGACTCGGCTTATGGAGCCATCCATAGTTATTCACAAATGGTGTATTGACACGTGTCCTGCAATAAATACACATTGGACACGTGTCAGTATATAAAGTTATCGGTGACTCCATAAGGGAGTCATCCGATGGCTCCATAGAATATCTATAAAATATCTTTTCATTATAAACTACTACACTTTAAAAATAGTATAAATAGAAGTATGACATTTGATAATATAAATGTGTACATTTGTTCATGGATTATGATGAGTCAACCCGCCTAACAATTAGGTTGCCTCACACTAAAACTTGTGTTTCTTGGATGGGGAGAGTGTGAATGTGTGGTGCATTAATTTGTTATGTTACGTTTTTGTTATTTTCTTAAATTGCTTCACTGGGATTTTTCTGTAAAATTCCTGGTCAAGTTATGAATCTCCTTTGAATGGCAGAATTTCATGGCTGAAGCGGCGGGCCAACCTCAGACACAACATACTCAATCAACAACCGATTACAATTCTTACGGAGTTCATGGCTCGGTTTACACATCTCCCCCTACTAATCATACTCACCCACCCCAAGCAGGTGGTTATGGCCCAGCTTATGGAACCAATTATGGCTACTAAATGTTCAATGTCAGTTTTCATTCACAACTATAAATTATACCAAATGGCAGTAAGCTTATTTACGAAAAATAGATTTGTTGTGAGATATACTCTAGACGATTCCCATCTGTTGTTTTGCTGCTTGTGGTAGAAAATTATAGTCCCCATTTAGATCCACCACTTCATTCATCACGTCTTATTTTTATTTGGTTATTTTGCCTTTGTGTATTAGATGTTATATTGGGTATAACAGTGATTTCTTAATTTCACACGATGCAAATCTAAAGGTGTGCATCTTGCAGGCACGAGACACGCACGGTTTTAGCCTATGTATATATATTGCCCCTGTGTTTGGAAAACATAATCAGAGTTTAAAAGTCGAACACAGATTGTCAGGTGATCACTATTAGAGCAAGGGCTTCAGTGTGATAGCACATAGCAGGCTGTTGAATACAACTGATATCTTGCCATCATTTCTTGGGATACCTGGTTTTTATTTTTTATTTTTTTTGGGAAGAAGACACTTATTTCTGATCTAGAAATGGGGATTTGTTCATCAAGTTACATAATGCAATGCAATCTGCCTCAAAGTTTCTATACATCTAAAAAAATTAGGCTCATTTGATAGAAAAATTTGTTCGTTTGTTAATCGAGTTGAGTTCGAACAAAAAAAACTAGGCTCGTTTGATAATAGAACGAATACAAGCTTGTTCGTGAACGTCCGATAATGTTAGCGAATATTAATTCAATATTATTTTATTTTATTTTTATATATTTCCCTGATATTTTTTTTATTAAAAAAGCTAAACTATAAAAAAAAATCTTTATTTCCGCGCTCAAACGAGTTCGAATGAACGAAATTTTTAGTTGTTTAAAGAATTTTAAATTTTTTTTTCCTTAAATTATTCGAACGCGAAGGGACTCAAACTTTGACGAGCAATCACATGAACGAGTTCGAACACCAATTTTTGGTCGAGAAGTAAACTAACAGATACAGTCAATGTTCGAACGTAAACGAACACGAGCTCGAAATTTCCAAGCTCGACGCTTTCGGTTCGATTACAACACTACCTACCGCTCTCGCCCAAACTCTAGCTTGCAATGCCGCTGGCGCCCTCCCTGTTCACTAGTCGCAGGCAGCTCGACCTCCTCTGTCACGTGCCATCAGCGTGCTTCACTTTGAGCGTCGTCTCCAATGCCATCTCCTCCAAATGTGTTGAGAATGCCATCTCCTCCAAATGTGTTGAGGCATGAACATCTTGTATTACAAGTTGTGATTTACACATAAGAAAATCTTTAAATTGCAATGTCAAAGAACGCTTATAGTTCAAGATGCAATTATTAATTGCCCCGTTAAGTTATACAACAGCAAGCTCATCTCTAGTGCATACATTACCATGCTATTTAGCTGCACTCACCTTAGTAATTGGTCCCTTGTCCATAAACTCAAACCAAAAACACCATCAACGAGTTGGCAAAAATCACACGAAGGATTAAATAAAAAATAAAAAAACCTGCAAAATTGTATCACAACTGCCAAGAAAAAAAACCTATCAATCAGACATCAATCAAAGGACACACAAATTCACAACTCAGCTAATGCAGAAACAAATAAGCACGTCTCAAATAAAAAAAAAAAAAAAAAATCCCCAGCTCTGCACAGGTAAGAAAGAAAGGGACTATAGATCTATAAATCGCTCAAGAGAACCTCCTTTTTCTTATTCCACCAAAAACCTATAAAAATATATAGTAACACCAGCAGCAGCAACAGAAGACACACATCTTCATATGGGTGCAGCACAAGTCGTCCTGAAATGCCCTGTTTGATTGCACCTGCTGCAGTGCACGACCCTCTTCATCCGCCCACGATCCTCAGCCCTCACCCTCTTCTTCCTCGGCCTTCCCGGAGGCCTCAGCGACTTTGGCGGGTTTATCACTACAGCCGACAAAGCCAATGAGTTCCCCTCGGGATGATGATCGGCTGCCGACTCCTCCACCTCCCTCCACAACGTCTTGTCCGGCACCGGGTGTATCGTCTGGGAGTACGTTTTCCGGTAAGCAGCCACTGTGAAGCAGCTCTCAGTGAACCTGTGCACATTCTGCCTGCACGACAGCAACGCAGCCACAGCATGGGCGCACGGAAGCCCATACAGCTGCCAGCCCCGGCACAGGCAGCACCTGTTGCGTATGTCTACTGTGTGGGTCCCCTCGTGAGAGATGACCTCGAACTCTGCCTCGTTTGCCCGGAGGACCTGGTACGTGCGGGCCCGTTCGAGTGCCTCGGCCACACGCCGCTCGGCGCTCGGGACGAGGATGGATGTCCACTGCATGCTCGTTTCCCTCCGCTCGTTGAACCATGTCATGAGCTGCCGCCTGATGCACTCCATCATCTGGATGATAGGCAGTCCCGAGGCCTCTAATATCCACGCGTTTAAAGACTCGAGCAGATTGGCCGTCAGGTGACCGAACCTCATCCCCTCAAAGTAGGCCGTGGCCCACAGACGGGGTGGGACCCGGCGGATCCAGTAGGCAGCGTCTTGGGAAATCTCCTCAATCTCGAGAACCTTGGCCTCGAACTCGATGACGGTGAGGGCATGGGCTGCATCCCAGAGGAGGCCGACGAGGTCTGCGTTATTAAACTCCTTCTGGAAGCTCTCACTGAGGTGGCGCATGCAGAATCCGTGGAAAGCGGTTGGGAAGTTGGCCTCCACCCCGTCCACAATCCCTTTCTGCCGATCCGAAAGTATAGTCAGCCTTGGCATGTTCTCCGTGTTGGCCTCGAGCAAACCGTGCAGCTCGGACAGAAACCACATCCAGTTGTCATCACTTTCCTCGTCCACCACCCCGAAAGCCAGCGGGAAAAGCCCGCCGTCCCCATCAAACCCCGTTGCCAGGAGCAACGTACCCAGGTACTTACTCTTCAAGTAGGTCCGGTCCAGCCCGAGGAGGGGACGGCACGCATTCAAAAACCCGTAGATAGATGCCTGGAAGGATATAAAAAGACGCTGAAAGCAGTTATCCACCGGATTCCCATAAACAGAAGCTATGCTCCCCGGGTTGGTCCGCCTGATCTGATCGCAATACTGTGGGAGCAGCCGATATCCCTCCTCGAACGAGCCACGCATGGCAGCCATGATGCGCTCTTTCCCTCTCCACGCCTGCTTGTAGGACAGGGTTATGCCATGGGTCCGATGAATTTCTTCGAGGATTTCTTTGGGTTTGTAGTTAGGGTTCTCACGGAGGCGCTGCTCAACGGAGTTAGCGACCCACTGGACAGAGGCCTGCTGGTGGCCGAGGTGGGCAATGCCACCGCACGTGTGGGCATCGTTTATGGTGCGGATGGTAAAGGTGGGGACGCCCGGGAGCTTGGCCGCATGGATGCGCCACGGGCATCCATCCGCGGCGCACTTGGCAGTGAACCGGGTTTTGTCGGACTTGATAGTCTGCATCTCGAAGTGGAGGGCAATGGCAGTGTCACGCAGGGCCCGGCGGCAGGCTTTGACGTCTGCAAACTCTTGGCCCACGTGAAGCTCGAAATTGGGCCCGATGGCAAGAGTGCGCTGCTGGAGGACATGGGAAGGGGTGAGGACGAGGGATGAGTAGTGGTGGGGGTGGTGGAGGGTCATGTCGTGCATCTGGTCCAGGCTGGACGAGTCGTGCTGGATCACGGCAAGCTCCATGTTCTCGTCCAGCTCGTGGGTTTCGGAGGGGTCCAGCTCGTCAGGGTCGGACATGTCGAGCTCGCTGTTGTTGTTTACGTGCATGTCTTGGGATTGGTGAGGCTGTTGTTGCTGCTCGGATTTTGTGTCGTCTGGTGGAATGCCGTGTTCAGGAGGATCATACCTATTGTTGCCTTCGTCAAGAGTTTGTTGTCCTAACCGGGTTTCTTGGTCGTGGGGATGAACCATATCAAGGCCATGGTTTTGGGTGTTGTGGTTGCGGTTGAGCAGTATGGGCGGGTTGTGGGAGAGGGCGCTGTTGGAATTCTGTCCCAGCAATATGTCGTGGTTCGTCATTTTTTCGTTTTCCTTAATTCGTCTGCAGAGAATATGAACCAGACCAACACACATCAGCAAAATCCTAGCTGAATAAAATCAGTTCACGAGAGTGGCTCAGCTCAGCACATCATGAAAAGTTCAAAAAAAAAAACAAAATTGCTCCTTGCAAAGATCAACAAAACTCTCGACCTCATCACAAACCCAAGGACAACATCGTTAATCACTAACATAACATCAAATCCACCAATCCATCATCAGGGCCACTCAGAATTCAAACAAAAAAGTCGATTCATCTTCGTTTATATTCAACAAACATGAGACGGATGAACAAAAAACAAAAATCTGAACCAGAAATACATAAATTAGTAAAGAAAAAGAAAAAGGGATTAACAACGTACCTAAAAACTAAACAAAAAAACCAAACTTTCTTCACATCAAGCTCGAGTCTTGGCCAAATCCAGGTCCTTACAGAAGAATCTCGAAGAACCCAATACGTGGGTCTGCCCGATTAGTTTAACGCACGCATCATCGGAATTCAATTGATGACAAAGGGAGGGAGAAGGGTATGAGGAATTTGAAAATGGCGGGCAAGAGGAGAGAGAGAGAGAGAGAGAGAGAGGAGTAAGGAGAGAAAAGGGAAATTGGGGAAAAGAGAGAAGGAAGAAGGAAGGGCAGAAGAGGGTGTTCGCAGGCAAAGCAATGGAGTTGGAGATAGGATTTTAGGTCACAACTTGTGTTATCCTTTTGCCGACTTTACCCTATTGCCCCTTTTTCAAACCTCTCTCCACCTTTCCTATTTTACTCATATGACCTCTTCTTGTATTCTTCTAACTACTAACTACTAAAAATAGTTAGTGTGGAAATTAATTATTTATATATATATATATTTATAATTAAAACATATATGAAAATTTTAAATATTTTCTTTTGGATAATTGGAATCATTTATTTATTTAAAAAAAATAAAAAATAAGTGGACTAAAATAAAACAAAAAAAAAATTGTGGACAAAAATAAAACGGACGGATTCTCACAATCCGTGTTTTAACGAAACACGTATTCTGAAAATCCGTGTAAGTGTAATTTTACTACGAACACGGATCACGAAAATCCGTGTTCCGTTAATTATGAACGGAACACGGATTACCAAAATCCGTGTTCACTTAATCTCGTAATTAAGCTAATTAATTAAACAAAACACGAATTCTAAAAATACGTGTTTAACTGAACACGAATTATGACAATACGTGTTACTTAAACACGGATTACTAAAATCCGTGTTTAAGTATTTATTCTTTTTTTTTTAAATATTTTTTATAGTATATAGTTTTTTTTAATATATACTATATACATATATTTAATAATTGGCTGAGATTGTTATATAATAAAATTTAATTTTTTGGTTTTGTTTATTTATTTATTTATTTTGAGTTAGGGCTCGACTCTTGGATGCTCACGAGCTTCCTACTACCGAACGCG